TTTCAAGAGCAGCTAACAGATTTACGCTGTCAGCTCTGACAGATTCGGCCTTGAGACAGGAGTAAGTGGTAATGTGACCTGCATAAATAGCTAGTTTAGAACTGATGACATCAGGAAGATCATTGATGAAGATCAAAAACAGCTTAGGATTCAAACAGAGCCTTTGGAGTACAAGGATCTGGAAGCGACTTTTATTATACGATTTGACTGGAACGATTGGATTAAATCATTCCTCCTGGCCATAACGTAGCCCTGGACTTTGCGTAGAAGATATGCATGTGAAACCCTGTCAGTCTCTAGAACCGCAGCTCGGGCTTCGGCGTTATTGTTCAGGGCTTGATATACATATTCAGTGATGGCTGTTAGCACGTCAGCTGTAGACCGGACGAAGCGGAAGCCATATTATTTGTACGAGGGGAGGTCGTGACAAGTAAAGTGCTTAACATTGTTTAGAGCCTCGAATTTTTTGCCGAAAAGCGGTAAGTAACAGGACGATTATTTGAGGGTTACCTCCAAGAAAATAAGTAAAGTATTAAGTCACAGGAAAATATCATTGCAAATTAAAAAAAATAGTGCATTATGAAATGTTCTATTCTGCACAATCATCTTACAGCGAAAGTCGTTCTATCGATGAATACTGTGGAGGGGCAGATGAAGTAAGCGTTGCCCGGTTAATTTACAGTTTACTACGCCCGCTCAGTTCGTATTAAAAAATTTCCAAAATACTTACATTTATGTGTCATTGTACATGTTTCATTCGAATCTGGCATAATAAATTTGATAAAATCTGCCGTTTTGGAAATTTCGGATTCATTTGCGTCGCGGACAGCCATTACGGGCGTTGTTTGTATACAATCGCTGTAGAATAGCTATCAGTGTATCACTGCGCAAACTGAGCGTGTCTACGTAAATAGTTCTCGTGCGCAGTAATTGAGACAAATTTAGACTAGAAAGAACAGTTCCGCGTTTAACTCTCCGTAGTCTTCCGCTTTTAGTTTTCCGCAGCGAATGTATGCAAACAACGCGAGTAATGGCTGCCGCCACCGACGCGATTGAATCCCAAATATCACTGTTGATAACTCCAAAACGATAGATTTTATCAAATTTATCAAGCTAAATTCAAATGGAGCATATACAATTACACATAAATGTAAGTATTTTTGAAAATTTGAATGCGAACTGAGCGCGGGTGTTATACTGCAAATTAATCCGTTGTTCTAATGAGGAAGGCTGAGAAAACAAAGGCTGCAGATTTGCGTAACTACAGACTATTAATGGAAAATTAATTTACAAGGAAATTGATATTTAGATGCAAGAAGAGACAGCTGAAACCTTAGAACACATAAGGAAGGTAGGCCAAGAGAATTTAACACCCAAAGGACATATTGAAGACAACAGAATCAAGGAAAGTGTGCCTGGAGAATTTAACAGCCAAAGGATATAGTGAAAGTAACAGAAGAATGGAAAAAATGTTGCTGGAGACTTTAACATTCACTGGACATATTAAAGGCACAGAAGCAAGGAAAGAGTGCTTGGAAAATTTAACACTCAAAGGGCATTGAATTCGACAGAAACAATGAATGTCTTCTTGGAGAATTTAACACTGAAATAGCATATTTAAGGCAACAGAAGCAAAGAAAGTCTGACGTTAGATTTTAACAGTGAAATGTCATTTTTAAAGTAACAAAAGCAGGGAAATTGAGCTTGGATAATTTAACACTCAAAGAACATATTGAATTCAACAGAAACAATGAATGTCTTCTTGGAGAATATAACACTGTAATAGCATACTTAAGGGAACAGCAGCAAAGGAAGGTATGCCTGGAGAATTTGACACTAAAAGGATATATTTAAGCAACAGAAGCAAGGAATGTGTTACTAGATTTTAACGGTCAAATGTCATTTTTAAAGTAAAAGAAACAGGCAAAATATGCCTTGAGATTTTAACAATCACAGGACATATTGAATTGAAGAGAAGCAAGGAAACTACTCCTTAAGTATTTAAAAGAATATATCCTGTTTCCTCGTGAAGCAGTAAAAAATAGCAAATAACTTGCTTAACATGTTTGTCAGTTTTCTTGAAGGCATTACCATATTCACTTGTTCCTCGGCACCTTCGGATTCTTTGATTTGCTGCTTTTTTTTTTTTTTTTTTTTTGCGTGGGGGGGAATGTATTCATTGTATGTCTTTTCTCTTTGCATACAGGCTGTTTCTTCTGGATAAAGCTTTCAGATTGTTCCAATATCTTTCCACTTGTAATTCAAGCATTTGTAGTATTTCAAGTAGCAACGAATGCTGGAGAATCTCCTCATATTTGAAATTTGGCTCTACAGAAACATGCTGAGAATACTGTGGACTTATGAGTAACGAAGAAGTTTTAAAGAAAACATTCGCAATTATCGTTAGAATCAGAAAGAAAACCGTTGACATTTCAATGACAATGAGGAAAGAAGGCTTGGAGAATTTAACACTCACAGGAGATACTGAAGTCAAACGGGACAGTGAGCCACCCAGCTGACAAGGATATGTGAACAGATAGAAGAACCGAATATGATAAAAAGAAAAATATTGCTAAGTGCTATAAAAGATAGGATGTTGTGGAGAGCCATATTCTTAAGAGATAATACACATAGAAAAAGAAAACATGAAAGACAGACGAAAGGAACAAGTAACCTACGTAAACGGACTTATGTAAAAGGATAGCAAAAAGACAAATTATAGATAGGGATTTCAAAAGAGGCCCAAATTATAGAATGTTGTGGAGAGCCATGATCTATCACGTCCAGAAGGAACACGTCACATAGAAGAATAATCTTAATAATATTCTTATTTCTGAAGAATCGTGGGTTAGCGGAAATATCTCCAAGGTTTTAAACGGATTTTGAATTTCCTCCCAATGTTTTATTGTCTGTAGTTCTCAATCTTTGACATAATACAGTATAACCCGGATGTAAGAGAGTTGTCGGGACCGGAGAAGAAGTCTCTTATATCAGGGTTTCTCTTATATCCGGGTTTGGTCTATTTTGTTTAGGTAAGTATGGGCTCTAATTTGGGACCAGAGACAATCTCTCTTATATCCGGGTTTCTCTTATATCCGGGTCTCTTATATCCGGGTTACGCTGTATAATTTTTATAAGGATGATCCTAATACTGAACTCGTCTTATTCATATAAGACTGGGTTGATACAGTGTAACCCGGATGTAAGAGAGTTGTCGGGACCGGAGAAGAAGTCTCTTATATCAGGGTTTCTCTTATATCCGGGTTTGGTCTATTTTGTTTAGGTAAGTATGGGCTCTAATTTGGGACCAGAGACAATCTCTCTTATATCCGGGTTTCTTTTATATCTGGGTCTCTTATATCCGGGTTACGCTGTATAATTTTTATAAGGATGATCCTAATACTGAACTCGTCTTATTCGTATAAGACTGGGTTGATACTTCAAGCATTGGGTTATGTTGTAGACTAAGTAAAATAATTGATCACTCCGTAGCTGGTAATAATCAGAAGAGCTGGTATTGTTTGGGGTATGTTTGATCACGATATGCAGGTATCTCTGCCTGAATGAGAAAAAAAAACGGTTCTTAACGTTAAAAAAGCAAGGTGTTATTACTTCATTACCGCCAATCAGACTCCAAGTGTTCTCCTGTTAGGATGAACGGTTTTGTTCTCATAAAGGTATTTCCTGGTAGTGTTTGCTTGCAAATAAACCTGGAAGAACAAGCACAAAACAGTGCTAAGTATGCATGCAAGTTTCTTGTAGAAAAATGAATTAAAAAAACAGTGACATCTTGGCGCAAAGAATCCGACCAACTTCATTACGCAGATTATTAAAAAAAAAATTTTTAAAATACTAAATTCATCTGCCTATTCAGATTATTTACATTATTCGGACTGTTATCCTCATCTTCATTGTCATATTCGCAACGTTTCGGTCGTTGTACGCCCGGCCTTCTTCAGGTGATTATTTACATCAGATTTCCCTTTAATTCCCCTCTCCAAGACTTTTTGGTTCACCAATGCTGTAACCTGGTATTATTACTCACAACTCTTTGAGTCTGCCCACTAGATCTAATCAACAACTTTATCGCCTGAACCATGTGTCCTCGAGGTCGCATGGCCCAGTGTGTAAGGGCGAAATAATTGAGACATGGCACGTGGAACTAGAACAACCTACCCCAGTGGACGAAATAAAGGGTTCGGTTCGAAATCTCAATCACCGGAGAGTACAACGTTGTGAATATGGCATAGATGAGGACAACAGCGCGAACAATGTAAATACTGTAAATAGTTACAATACCTCATCTCAGAAATAGAGACAGATGTTGAAGGTGAATATGGCAATAAAGATGAGGACAACAGTCTGAACAATGTAAATAGTGTAAATAGTTACAATACATCATCTCAGAAATAGAGACAGATTTGGTTCTCATTTTTTACATGGTTGGTGTACACGTCCATGAACCATTTTTTATCTTTATAATTCCCCACCCCCGCGTGTTCTGCAATGGACTTGGACAAGCTTGTTAGGTTAGTCGCTGTTTCTCTGTTTCCCTCCAATATGCCTTGTGTGTGTCAAGTTCTCCGAGCTTTCTTTTTTCATTAGGTATCCTCAAAACTTCGACTGGCTCATTAATCTCAATGAAACGATCATCACCAGAACTTGTACAGAACGATTTCTTTTGAAAAGTCGAGTAGTTTGCAGTCCTTCGTGGTCGAGGGAGTAATTCAGCGTCGTCGTTTATTGCTGAATGGCTATCAGTTTAGTGTGGCTTTCGAGTTTCGACGTAAAGAAATACGAATGAACGATATTGTCCCGCCGTGGAAGGCCTTTTATGCGATGACGTGATATGGCTTTGTTATAACGGACTTATTAGATTAACAATCTCGAATGAGTTTGAGAGGCATCGATGAAACGCACACAGGGAAATATCGCCAGTTACAAGACAGCAAGAAGCCATAACAATCGAGTTGAATAAGAAAAGGTTGGCAATCTTTCATTTATGTCTTTCCTGCGATATATGTGAGTGCGGGTGTATTATACACACATAGATAGATAGATAGATAGATAGATAGATAGATAGATAGATAGATAGATAGATAGATATGAATATAGAAAGAAAGAGAGACAGAGAGAAAAGGATTTAATGAATTTATATAGTTTTGTATCTATCTATCTATCTATCTATCTATCTATCTCTCTCTCTCTCTATATATATATATATATATATATATATATATATATATATATATATACAGAGAGGGAGGGAAGAGAGAGGTATGGCCAAAGGAGATAGATAGATAGATAGATAGAGAGAGAGAGAGAGAGAGAGGGAGAGAAAGAGTTAATTTATAGTTTTGAATCAACATATTATATATATATATATATATTGCAGAGAGAGTGAGAGAGGAAGAGGGGGAGTTATTGAATTAAGATAATTATGAACAAAAGGAGATAGATAGATAGATAGATAGATAGATAGATAGATAGATAGAGAGATGAGAGGGAGAGAAAGAGTTAATTTATAGTTTTGAATCTACATATTATATATATATATATATTGCAGAGAGAGTGAGAGAGGAAGAGGGAGAGTTATTGAATTAAGATAATTATGAACAAAAGGAGATAGATAGATAGATAGATAGATAGATAGAGAGAGAGAGAGAGATAGATAGAGAGAGAGAGAGAGAGAAAGAGTTAATTTATAGTTTTGAATCTACATATTATATATATATATATATTGCAGAGAGAGTGAGAGAGGAAGAGGGAGAGTTATTGAATTAAGATAATTATGAACAAAAGGAGATAGATAGATAGATAGATAGATAGATAGATAGATAGATAGATAGCTGTTTACAGCCTGTTTTTTTTTGTTTCGGATTGGTTTTCCAGCTTCCTTCTAACATCTGCTAATTCTCTTTCAGTCCTGGTAACCCCTTGCGTCATAGCGACATTATCGCCTTTCTTGGGGTGAAATGATAGATAGATAGATAGATAGATAGATAGAGAGAGAGAGAGAGAGAGAGAGAGAGAGAGAGAGAAAATTAATAGACTGATATCAGATAGATAGAAAGACAGACTGAGAGAGAAATTTACCACTTTATATCGCACCTTTAATAGGTCAACAAATAAACTGAACATATCTTTCTGTTGTGTCGACAGCAGTTTTTTTTTCTATTCAGCGGAATAAAAGCCTGTCAGAATAGTGTATTTTGATAAGTTTCTTGTATCCGCAGTAATGTCGCTCGGCTGAATCGGTATAGTAAAAAAAAAAAAGATATTTAATTCAATATTCTACACATTATTTATGTCATTTATTTTAACGAATATTCACTTTTTTTTTTTGCACGAACAGTTCACAGAAGGCAGAACCACATGAATAGATTTCGTGTAATAAAATCCACGATTAAAATTCTGTTTGTATATATTTTTTTTTTAATTTTCGTTTTGATGCGTCTCTTTCATTTGACTGAGTCACCCAGCTGAATTTGGAAAGGAAAAAGTAAAAATCCTCACACCCCCTCAAAAGAAATTTGACACAAGGCCGTGTTTAAGCCGGAATAAATAAATGGGTTTGCTAAGTTTTCACATCTTTGTTTCTTGATTCAGTTCTTTTGCATCACGGATCATCTACTTCTATGTGCAGCGTATTTTCAAGGCACGGTGGAGTAATGGATAGCGGCTCGGATTGGGAAATCGGAGAGCCGATTTCGAATTCCACTCGAATCCATTGGATTTACTTACGTACTAATACCCTTGGGAAAGGTATGAATCCTCTTCTTCTTCACCCAGATATGGGTAAATAGCAGGACAGACCTTGCTCTGCAGCCATGGATGGCGACTGGTCTACCGCAGAAAGAAATAGCAACCTATTGCGGGGAAAAATCTGCCTCGTCAGTCATGTATCGAAAGATACATGACAGCCTAAGCGTGTATCACACATAGACTGACTGATCCAGTCTCTCCACAGCTACCTATTCCGTACATCTACTCTCCATTTTGCCATTCTTCCATATACAGTTGTTTGATAAGTAACACGTGTCCAACTTCCGTCCAAACAAGGCTGTAATTTGAACCCGGCCTTTCAATAGGGCCGATAACCATTACGTCACCCTCAAATCCTGACTATGTCACACCTAGAAATAACCCCAACTACGAAGTACCGATGATTAAAAAATGAGTTCAGTGTATGCATCTCTTACTTTTTTAGATTTGAAAACATTGGTCGGTCTTTTGTTGTGACAAAACAAAGTTTTCTTAACTAATTTAATGACACTAGTAATGAAATTATATTTTCCATACCATCTATGGTAACTTTGTTTCACTTTCGATTATCTCATTACAGTATTAAAATATTCAAAAGCCAGTAAAACTGTTTTGTTCTAAGTTTAACGACATTACAATTATCCCATACTCTGACTTTTCTATAAATACTTCCATATTTGTTCTGATGAACTCTCCTCTTTGGTAAATATAATTTACAAGTCTATATTTCTGACATGAGGTATTATGTACTCTATTTACATTGTACGGACTATCATCCTCATCTTTGTTGCCATATTAAACACAACGTTTCGGCCGTTGTACGCTCCAGCCTTCTTCAGGTGACTGGAATGTCGAACTGAAGACTTAATTTCGCTCACTGGGGCAGACTGTTCTGTTGAGCTCTAGTTAAAAAACATGCCGTGATAACAGCAAAAATTTAATATGAGCACTGGTCAAAAAATGATTGCTGAAGACATTAGTTTTATAATATCCAGTAATTCACACACAGTTATGAAAGACACATGGCACAGTGGATAAAAGCGTTAGTTAGATCCAGTGACAGGAGCCAAAGAGTGTGAGTTCAATACCTGGTTAAATGGAATTAACTGGAAATAACTGACATCCATTAGATATGGCACGTGGAACTAGAGCAGTCTACCCCAGTGAGGGAAATAAAGAGTTCAGTTCCACATTCCAACCACCTGAAGAAGTCCGGAAACATTGTGATAAATATGGCAACAAAAATGAGGACGAACAATGTAAATGGTAGACTTTACCAATATAAACGCAGTACTAAATTGGCAGAAAGGCGTCACCGTATTGCAATCGAAATGGCTAGAACTGCAAGTTCTAGGCAAAACAGCTTCTTTCTCGCTTTATCTTGAACTCGCTTTCGGCTTCTTGCTTTCCAGTCATGTCTGATCTTCAAAATACGTTGGCAATTGTTATCGTCTGTTTTCTTGATTCCTGTTCTTTCATCGTTCTGGCTACTTAAGAATATTTTTTTTCTTTTTTCTAATATTCTTTCATACCTAGTAAGCGCATGCGTCTTAGTGTCTTTATTTATATGTTTGCGCTGAAAACGAGTTTCACTGACAACCTTGGCCGAATCGACGCATGTATTTATAGTAGTTTCAAACGGTGTCATTGGTTGAGTTTCCCCACCAACAAGAGCTCGACAGCATTTTAATGACTTTAAACTTAAGCTTCGATTTATTTAACTACTTACTAGCTGAATTACCCGCGCCTTTCTGCGTGTCATACAATTTTTTTATATTAAGAAAATGGTTCTTGATTTTAAATCATTATGAAAATTAGTGGAGAAAAATGACGTATTTCAATATTACTCAATGATTTTACCAATCTGACCTCATATCTTCTGGCTTTATCCTTTTGGATATAAGTCATTGCCTTGTTTAAATTTAAATTTAATTTAAATCAAAGGGGAAAAAATCTTAGTGGGGTTGGTGTAAAAACAGCTTGATCTGACGCCTTTGATATCTACTTGATGGAATACTTGATTGAATGAACTGATGAGCAGATTTCAACATTGATATGATAGTTGAATTGTCACAATAAATTGTATTGTAAGGCATTAGCCACTGATTGGCGACTTCTTGCTCAACTTGACGTCCATATTGTTTCATTTTGATCTTGCAGATGTGACCTGCATCTTCTGGCTTTCTCCTATATTTTGGATAGGAGTCATTCTTTTTCTCAAATGTAAATCAACGGGGGAAAAATTCAATGGGTGGGGGGAAGTTCCCGCAGGGACTCCCATTTGATCAAGATGAATTTAATTTATATCAAAAGAAAAAAAAGTATAGTAATTTATTTTCAGAATATATATAGTTGCGAGTTCAGTACCAAATCAAAGCAGTGGTGAACCAAAACATGAATAGTTGAGTTAAAAGGAAATAACTGAAACACCCGGAAGCGGCATGGCACGTGGAGCTAAAACAATCTACTCCGGTGGACGAAATAAAGGGTTCAGTTCAAAATTCCAATCATCTGACGAAGGCTGAAGAATACAACGGCCGAAACGTTGTGAATATGCTAATGAAGATGAGAATAACAGTCCGAGTAATGTACATTATTTACATTATTCGGACTATTGTCTTCATCTGTTGGAGTAGAAGTTGTGGAATCCAACCAAATACGATAATTGAATTATCGATTATTGAAATATCGGTGTTTTACTTCCATATTTGTTCTGATGAACTCTCCTCTTTGCTAAATATACTTTACAAGTCTATATTTCTGACATGAGGTATTATGTACTCTATTTACATTGTACGGACTATCATCCTCATCTTTGTTGCCCGGTCTGTTCCGGCCTTCTTCAGGTGGTTGGAATGTCGAACTGAACCCGTTATTTCGCTCACTGGGGTAGCCAGCTGAAGAAGGCCTGAACGTACAACGGCCGAAACATTGTAATAAATATGGCGACAAAGATGGAGACAATAGTCCGAATAATGTAAATAATGTACATAATACCTCATCTCAGAAATATAGACAGACGCAAGTCCGAGTAATGTAACTAATGCGTTTTAAACTAATTCTAAAATGTTATCTTACCCAGAAGTTCTTGTGCTTCAATATCTTCCAGGTGGGTGTGACCTTGAGATTTCCATGGCTGTAACGATCTTCTATCCGGAACAGCATCATTTCGAGGTAACATGAAATGAGCGGGAAAAAAGATATTTGACAGTTACTGATTCACCTGGTTTAAAACGTTTCAGCGGCAAACGCATTGTGCCCCAGTCCAGGCGACGATGGTAAGGGATGGTATCTGAAAAAAAATGGTAAAATATATTGGCGAGATGAAGACACCATTGCCACTTGCCAACGTTCATTAGCACCTGAGAGAGGTGACAATTCAAAATGGGGGAGGTATTTCTGCTGCCATATGTACGGCCAGGAAGTGTTGTAATGAAAATCAGAATGACACCGGACAGATCAGTACAAATGGAGACGGGTGTACATTTATGTATTAAAAATTATGCAAAGACATTTGTTAAGTATTTGACCTTGAAAATAATTTGATACTTCAGTCCTGTTTCTATCCTCACACATTTAATATGCACCGGATTTGTTGCCATATCTGCTGTACATCTAGAGATTCTTGACAAAATCCAAAGAAAGATCTGTAATGTAACCGATCCTGACCAAACATCTCAACTTCAGTCCTTGATGTGACGTGCCTTTTCTACAAATATTTTCATGGCAACTGATCTGACTATTTTTTTGTTGTTGTTTCCCGCCCCCTCCTGATACCCCGACGACTTGAATTTAAGCTTGCTACGAGATTAACAACTGGTTCCGACCGTTTTACTGTTGAAATAACTAAATGCGTCCGCCATTTTTATTTCTACAGTTTCTTTTCTCGCCCTTCCAAATTGTCGAACAACACTCTTCAAAAATGTAAATGAAACGAGAACCACCATCTTAAACCCCGTTCATTTTTTGTCCTTTCGAAATCCTCCCTATTCTTAGTCTTCTCTTTCACTTTCACTTTCACTTCCTGTAAGTGTGTGCTAGTGGCATTACCGCCTTGCTTGGGGATTAATGATTAAAAAATAAATATGAATTCGGATAAAGTTGGGACCAAATACAGATCAAATATGATTTGCTTTTTTTATATATTTTATTTTGCCGACAGCACTCCTGATATCAAAAACACGACAAGGAAGTTGGCTGACTGTGTCGTACCAGAAAACCTTTTCCATCAAAATCCATCTTGCACATTTATAAATCTACCATTCGTCCGTGTATTGAATACTGTTGCCACATCTGGTCAGATTCTCCTGCTGTACATCTCGGAATTCATGACTAAATCAAAAGAACACACTGTAATGTAATTGATCCTGAACAGG